TCGGGCTGATTTATTGTTAAACTTATCTCTGCGATCTAAAAGCTACATGGCCGGACGTCGGTAGATGTATTGCTTTACGGTAACTACTTACTATCTATATCATTAATCTTGAGGCACGCAATCATTTGTAACTGAAAATTAATTGAAACATCACGTGTCTGCTATTAATAATTGACAATTGGTTTTGAAATATCGCGCATGAAAAGTCTTTTGCAAAATTTGTAATACAGGAAACTTAATGTGACTTATGTACTTTTATTTTAAGGAAAACGTAATTAGGTAAAATTAAGGAATTTTGAGGTTTGTTTTTACCATTTTAACTATCACCAGCAATTCGCCCCGGCTTCGCACTGGTGATTTCCGAAACTCTACAAAAGCGCCACCCATCTACTGGGTCAAAATGTAAATATAAACCATCTAAGGAACCATTCAAATACAGACAAAACATTTCATTTGTGTTTTATGAAATAAGTGACAGTTGAGTAGAAGGTTACACCACAACGCATAGTCCTTGGCCTATAGATACATTATCATCATTCCTCACCGAAGTCCATTATGGATTGCCTCACATCCTGTAATTAAACATTCTTATTCTTCAAATCTTAATACTGCAGCAGACGCTAAGGTGATTCCGTATGTGTTTTGCTGCATTTTATGAATGAATGAATGAATTAATGAAATATACTTTATTGTACACCAGAAATACATATGAGAGAAAAAAACCAAATTATTTAAAGGTAAAATTAACGGCCTTTATTGCTTAGAAGCGATCTCTACCAGGCAACTATTGCAGAGGATAAAGTGACATCTGAGAAAGGGTAAGGGTGTATGTAGGTTGTTGAAAAATACACACGACATAAATATAATTATATAATCGATAAATACATATATAATATAATGAATAAACACATTTTAAATACAAAAATATAGACATACATATACGAGAGCAGATAGGATTAAACAAGTAAAGTGTAATCAAAGCCTTAACGTAAGGAAAAATAAGTAGGTGGTATTTTTTAGAGGAACGACAATTTAAGGAGGAAAGAAGTGCGCTTTGACAAGTTTTTTAAACTTTTCAATAGACTGCGCACTTCTAACACACTAAAAATTTTAGGTCGGTTGGGAATCAAATCTACTAATAATAAACGTCGAAGGAAGAACATCGACGAACTAACTATTTTACTATCTATTATTACTTCTACTACATATATTTAATGCTACCGTCAGAACCGGTTCCAAATCGTACATTAGAAATAACTATGATAAATTTTTAAAACCCCTTTACTCATGTTTTATTGGCGATTAGATGGGAGAAAATCAATTAAGTTGCTGCGTAATCGGTAAGGATAATAAAATATGTTATAAACATAAAATCTTCAACAAATTGTTTCTCCGATATAACTACCTCTAGATCTTGTTTTTTTTTTACCTTTAAAACAAAATAACCATCATTAATTATTTCCTGTTGGGGTTTAAAGTATATATATATCCTATACACGATTTTCATAAAATTTTGTGTCCAGGGAGTTTCGGGGGCAATATATCGATCTAGCTGGGATTTATTTTTAGAAAATGTATTTTTGTCGGTGTTTTCAGGCAATGAAAAACTGCTACAATATAAGAAGGTAAATTTCGACATTTTGTTACTGATCGTAATAGCTCAAGTGGATATCGAGCGGTAGTGAAATCGTAATGCCTTGGTTCGCGTCCCGTCTTGGGTCCGACTTTTTTTCCTTTTTTTTTTTCAAGTTCCCTTCTTTTGTGAGAAAATCTATTATTTCGAGTCCTTTTTTAGTATTTTTTTAAAAATACGAAAATTTTAATTAAACTAATTGCACTCATGATTTTTTATTAAAATAACCAGTTCAGTTTTTGACAACAAAAAATTTGAATTAAATAAATAAATAAAACTCGAATCCACTTTACGAACGGCAATATAACTATATCTGTTAATGTTGCCAAATTTAGATTTGAGATAATATTTTTTAGCGGAAGCCTATCTCACTGATATTTTACAAAAAATATAAACAAAATATTTGAATTAAATAAATAAATAAAAATCTAACCCACTTTACGAACGGCAATAAAATAATTGAGATGTTTCAAACTGTGTGAAGCCTGGGCCAGGTCCTTGTACACTATACTCAAAAATAGGGAAACACATTTAAACGGTTCTCAATTGTTCAATTATTTTGTATTGGCTTTGTTTATTGGTAAAACATAGAGAATTACACTTGAAATTGCAACACACAACAAAGACCCGTAGTGGTAAGCTGTCATTTTTATTGATTAGTGATGTGAGTGTGACATATTTATTTCACGTGTTTTTCACACTTGTGACAACTGACAGTTCTCTTTCTATTATCAATGGTCGCTTTATGGTCTACTGTCATTGTCTATAAGCACAGAGTAACTAACTCGGTGAGCGCCAAGTTGAAAGTCGATAAAAATAATTGATAAACATCAATTGTTTACCACAACAGGATACACTTTAATGAATTATCTGTATTTTTCCGGAATTAAACTGATTTTTTCTCTTTTTTTGAGGTAGTGTCCATAGACCTGACCCATTTTAAAACACCTGTACGCATCTTTGACCTTTTACTTCGCAGAGTCACAGGCTAACAAGACAGTATACGTCACGAGATCTCTAAAACTATACACCCGAATGAATTGAAATGTATAGTTTCCCATTTCGCAATGTAGACGCTCACCAAGAATGGATTTTAGGATAGTCTCATAAAAAAAATGGTTGACCCTGCAGGTCATCTCTGTAACTTCCCGCTAATTATGGAGTGTAGAAGTAAGGAGTGTGTATTATAAGTGTCCATAGAAAACCGTTAAATAAGGATGGCGCCACTATAGCTACGGGTTAAATTTTAAAGAACGTGCCGAAAAATATTTTTCGAAGACGACTTTTTCGAGGTTATATTTACTAAATAAAATTATATTAGATTTTAGAGCTACTGAGCAGTTTAGCAGCACATTTCAAACGTCGACAACTGCTAAGTTCATTTCATCCCAGTAGCTACTTCAGCGCTGTTGTGGAGAGTTTTTGAACTGTTATTTACTGCTTACAGATGGACACTTTTTCAACTATTCTACTATTGGAGTTGGTACGCCTTACTTCTATACTCCATACCGCTAATTTTAATATCAAAGGGCTACAAATTCCATTTATTCCGTTTTTGAGCTCTTTGAGCATGGTGAGATTTATCGCTTTTAATCGACGTCGTTTTTTTGAGTAAAAGAGCTGATTAGATTATAGAATTGATCAAAACAAGGCTGTCGAAGTAAATCCAAGAAAACTACTTTTAAAAAATTAAAACTATTCGAATTTTTGAGGTTTTCTCAGAATCAACCGTGACGATACGGCTAAGGTTCACAGAAAGTCTAAGTTCAGCAGGTCTTTTTCAGATGCGGAAAACCGCTTTTCGATCGGACACTCCGTTACAAACTTATGTGATTTTTACATGATTTTACACACACACAAACACACACACACACACACACACACACACAACATACATACACGCGCGCACACGCACATGCACACGCACACGCACACGCACACGAACACGCACACGCACACGCACACGCACACGCACACGCACACGCACACGCACACGCACACGCACACGCACACGCACACGCCACGCAGCACAACACCGCACGCACGCACGCACGCACGCACGCACGAACGCACGCACGACTTGCTTGTAGCATGCGTCGCTGGTGTCATTCATGTGTGTGCTTGCATGCTTGCGTCCTCTGCGTTGCGTACTGCCGTGCGTGCGTGCGTGCGTGCGTGCTGTGTGTGTGCGTGCGTGCGTGTGTGCGTGCGTGCGTGTGTGCACATGTGCGTGCGTGCCCACCGGTGCGTGTGTGCGTGTGTGCCTGTGTGTGTGTGTGTGTGTGTGTGTGTGTGTGTGTGTGTGAAAATGAAACTCATCGCTTAACCAACCAGAAAGAGGTTATATTGTTAGTTTTAATTATTGATACGATTTTATTGCAAGAAGAAATAAAATGCTGAAAGAAATAATATTGTGTACATAAAAAATAACTCACCATTAATATTTTATAAACCATTTAATATTTCATACGATCTCTATCTAACGAGTTGTCACTCGGTATATCTAACTGTTTCAGCTCGCACATTTATCAATGTCGAGTAGGTGCGGGTATTTACTATTATATACGGTGGTGGTGGAGTGTTAGCTGTCAACAGATGATTGTTGTATCAACGTAAAAGATATTATAGAAATGAATTTATCTTCTCAAGAAATACCTATATCCTTATTTGAAGCAAATCACCGTGCCTACTGTCCTTATTTATCTTTCGTTGAAATGTTAGGTTCTTGTTTGTATTTAGCCAGTTATTTGTTTTTTTTATTTATAATTCAATTTAAATCATCAAGCATAATTCTGATTGAAATAAAGTCGCAGAAATATCATTTAAGTGTATTTTTTTAAATAGTTTTTATTACCATAATGTTCTCTCGGCGACTTTGAGCTATTTAAACTTCGATAAACAAATCGATGTATTTAAATTATTACGTTTTCTACGTTAATTTTGCAAATAAACTTTTTTAATCTAAAATTGTTTTAACACTATCGTCACCATACAGCCTATAAAAGTTCACCGCACCCATAGATCGCCCCATAGAGGATATATTTGCCACGTAATTTGCTTGGTATCCATGCTTAACCACCGCACGGGTTAACCACCACAGTTTTTTTTTATCATTTTGAACTGTTCTAAGGAAGATGATGCTGGCCAACTTCTGTTTTAGTTCCCTTCTGTCACCTCTTAAGAAACCCACGGGATGACATGGATTAGTGGACTCTCTTACGTCACAGCCAATTTAAGGTTTATGGAAAAACAGTTTTTCATGGACCATAGTTTCTTCTTCTCTTAAAGGTTATTAGTTATAACAGTTTTCTTAACACACACAACACAAGACAACACACGTAATTGTTTTCCGGTGAAGTTGGCGTACCTTGTAGGGTCCCTGGTCAAAGCCGCAGAAGGAGGCCTCCATGGTGTAGGAGCGCTCGACGGAGAGGTGGCGCCACACGGTGACTCGCGCCGTGCTCTCACGCTCGCGCTCTACGCGGAAAGAGCACGAGCCGAGCGCAAACGCGCCAGATATGCGGTGCATTAAAGCTGGCAACATCTGTTACATACAAAACATAAAAGTGATAGGCATTAACTTATATATTACTGCGTACTACGTAACATTCGTGCCTATTTCTACCACCAAACAATGGTTTGAGAAGAGTACTGTTGGGTTTAGATTTGAAGGGTATGGAAATTTATCATAATAGCAGCACCATTACTAAGATATTATGATATAAATGCTAATTATATTTTATTATACTTTCTCCTCATTTTTATATATGTTATTCTTAGAGTAAGTAGACAAAAGCAAGCTAGGTATTTGTATAGGTACTCTAAGTTTTAATATACTTTTATATATAATATAAATCAGATTTATATAAATTTCTGAGGCTTACACCCATCCAACGGGCTACTTTGGAATCAAAAACTAGAAGCTTTAATGTTATACTTAAGAAAACATGGACAGATAGATATACAAACGAAAATTATAGGGGTCCTTTAATTTAGACAATGGGATTTAATCATAATATCAAGCCAGCATCTCGGTCCTTAAAAACGCGTCTGATTATTATTTGCATAAATTAGAAAAATATGCAGTAGCACAGATAATGTCCATAAATAGCGAATGAAATTTTGCACTGTACCTAAGGCTTCCTGAGTCGATCCTCTCGTTTATATATACGAATATATATTTTCCATTATTTGAGTAATAAGTTGGGAAATAATACTATAACACTAAATTAGAGTGATATAAACGATTTATTTATAGTACCCGCCATGCGCTTATACTGCGTTTATAATAATATCTATATGTAACAATATGATAAATAAGTATTGCAAAAACATAAATAGCGGTACGGGTACACTTTAACATAACAGTCACACAATAATAGCCGGTACCGATGCTGCAATGCGAACGTAGATTTATGATACCGCGGCAAGGCATGGCGACTGCATACAAATAGCACCATGCGGAGAGGAGAGCATAACACAGTTCATTACTAAGTGTCGGATGGTCACAAGTCTTCGCTTTTGGTCGTGCAACTCACTAGGTATTTAACGGGTTCGTCGGGCGCGAGCCGGTCGCTGCTGCACCAGCTCTCTACGCCCGCGCATCCGTAGAAGAACACATTCTTCTTGCGCGAGTGACCGTGATAATCGCAAAACACTAACGGTGGTTTCTTCCAAACTCGTACTAGATATTCTATGAGGCCCTGGTAACAAAAAATTAAATTTCAAGAAAAACTAAGCTTTTAAGAAAAATTAAATATAACATGGACGTGTAAAAGAACCATGAAATATAGTTGTTTTTACAGGCTGGTATCGACTACAGCTAAAGGTTTATATGTTTAAAGCCGCAATAAGTGTAATAACTAATAAATAAATATATTACTTGTAATAAAATGCCCACGTTTTTGAATTTTTATTAGACTATATTATGCCTTTATAATAAATATTAATTGAAGTTTATATTTTGATTGGAGGTATACTAATTGTGTATTTTCTTTTTGAAATTTATAGTTGTTTGACTTTTAATATTTTACTATTTTCTAGTATTTTACTGGATAAATATCATTCTGTTTCATATTAAATACTTAATATGGTACACTTACCCTGCACTTTGTTTCTAAATCAAGGATATACATAGGTGTCTACGGCCTCAGATGAAGCTACGGCCCGCAGTAACCATTTAAACAGGTGGACTATGTGCTCGTTCGTCACCCTGGTTTACTTAGATATATCCTTCAATACGAGTTTAATACCTTGAAAAGATCAGATATGTAACCTATACAGATGTTAGTTTAAAGCATTCGCCTTAAATTTCCAAGTAGGGACGTGAGAAAATCGAATTCTGTCTCTGCGGGCATCTATAAATTGTTGATTGTAATTTTAAGCTTTAACGTTTATCACGTACGCGGCGGTAAACAATAAACATTGTGAGGAAACGAGGATATTTTTTTTAATTTCAAAAATAAAACTGTTGACATGTGAAGTCTGCCAATGCCAACTGGGCATCAATCTCCTGAAAATCTTTCAAGAATTTGTGGAGGCCTATATGTATATTGTTAACTTTTATATCTACAACATATCACCATAACATTTGTTTATAGGGTAAGGGTGACGAACGAACGCACAATCCACCTGATGGTAAGTGGTTGCTCTGACCCATAGACAACCTCTATCCTTGATTACGGATCAAAATGTAGATGCGTTTTTACCCGTGAGGACTAAGAAGGAATGCCTAGTTTCCATTAAAAAGGTCATAGGTTCTCTACACTCACCATACGAAACACAGCGGCTTTAAGTTGCTATTTACGCCGGTATTCTATGAGTCGACCTATCAGTGCCACAACTATAATTCTAATATAGAGCTGCTACATGGCTTCACCAGGTAAAAATTATGTTACATATATGTGTATATAACGAACTGTTATGGAAAAATCACTAATACATGTTATATTTATTTTATAACAAAATGTATGTAATGTGATAGTATCTACTCTGTATTAGTAACTATACAATATAATATAATATATACATTTACCTTCGTGTGGTAGATTGAAGGATGTAAAACAGGACTCGGCTTGCACCAACGACGATTTAAATCTTCATTAGTTAAGCCGCATCGATAGCTGGAACAACACACAGACATTATTCGAGACGCCCAGGAAGTTTCCCGGTCGACAACTTATCGCCGCTAGTCGCTTGCTTGTAACCATTGAAGTGGCACGGTCATGGGTTGAAAGACGGCTATCGTTGTTGTGATATCAACATCTAAATGGGCCCTCTAGATCATTATCTTGTATTACCTTTGTACAATAAGATCGGAGATAGGCTTGATGAAACGTCGACATAGAATAATCACAATGCAATTGTATTTTTACACCAATATTGGCTTTGGCTAGAATTTCGACTCATGACCTTTTATTCGTTCCATACTCTTTTGAAAATTAAACTGTATATAATATCTTGTACAAAACTGTATCAAATGATAAGTAATATAAATACAGTAATGTAACTCTAAAAGATAGACCGAAAAAAGGATTTCTTGTGTGATATCTAACCCCAAAAACTCACTACTGGACATAACTACAGAAAAAAATTCTCTTATGGACGCCACACGCGGTCATTTCAACTGATCAGTTCAAACTAAAATATTTTATATATAAGTTTATTTGTTTTATATATAAGTTTATTTATCGATATATCGAAAATTCAATATTTTAAAAGATATCAATAGTTTTATTTTGTCAGTCCGATCAGTTGGAATGATCAGTTGAACTGACCATGTGTGGCGACCAATAACCAACACCTTCGACAAGAGTCGGATTGCCGTTCTCAGTACCAGACGCCTCATAATTTTGATGCGTTTTTTGTACCTATTTTACGACCGGTATGAGCGAGATGGTTATAGATACGACCTATAAAAACCCATAAGATATTTCTGGCATTTCCTATATTCGACTCTTTCAACACCCATAGAACGAAATAAAGTGATGTATTCTTTAACGCCGCTCTTACAGCAATAATACTTACATTCAAAATACTTTTAGTCACTGTCACGCACCGGATAGGGAAGTTGTTAAGGGTCGTGGCACATGGGTAAAGAAATCGCCTCCTTACTCTGTGACCGTTCCTTAAGGTTGACCCACACCAGACCGAGTCATACTATGGACCACAGCATCCACTTACCATCAGGTGGACTGATACTCGTTTGACACCCTTATTCTATATAAAAAAACATTCTATTATACAAAGAATGTCGTTATAAATATTTTTTTCGATTGTTAAATAAAAGTAAAAGCACTGGATTAGTGTAACACAAACCTATTCTCTTCTGCTTTGAAGACACCAAGATTCTAATCAGATGGAAAGATCGATGCCGGAAAATTAATCCAATAGTTTGCTGTACGCAGTACAAAAGACGAAGCAAACCAGCTGCAAAGGCCGACCGTCTGGTTGTACGATGGTGGAAAGATGTAGGGAAAATGAAACCATGCAATTCGTGTTCCTTTTGTATATAATGTAGGATACGGTACTGCGTATCCTACATTATTTAAATATAAAGAACACCAAGAGTAAGCTGAGAAGCTGGCAACTCTGCGCTTGGGCTCGAGGCAGACAAGATTGGTTTTTACTTAGGGTCACTAAAGACTCTTTTAGCATGCCTCTCCCTGAGTTCAACGCTGCTAGGTGGTATTCAGTAGCAACAGCCTATCGTGACAGCAGTATTCCACGCACAAATGGATTTGCGCTTTATATAGTCTTAGGTATATATCTTACGTAAAACACAGCCTACTTTATTTGCGGTTGCTTGGCCTTTGACTTTATGAACCACCCAAAGTTAAGTTCCACCTCAGGGTGCTAGTGTTCTGCGGTAAAAATAATGACAAATAATATCCACCAAATAAATAATTTACTAAATTAAATAACTTATATGGCGAGTAAGCATCGAATTATGCTGTAAGGAAAAGGTAAGTCTAATTAAAAAAAACAAGCTTAACTTTGCAGCGGTAAAAAATAATCTCCCATGCATTGGCCTACATCAGGGTCGATTGTATATTCTTATTGCAAATGTAAGTTTTTAATTCTAAAAATATATTTATATGAAAATTATAATTGGACGCAGTTACGCTTAAAGGACTTACTCAAATCATTTTTGTTTCAAAGATGTGTTCTTTTATAATAAGATAATGTTTAGGACCTCTACTTTTGGATAGAAAAAACAATTTTAACAAAATGTCGCCTTCAATAACGAACAAAATTATTAACAAATCGAATCGAGCCTTCATCATTGAATAAAGAATATTGAAAAATTTAATATGTCAATGGGTGGATTTTTTTGCGCAACTAAATCCAATTTATATTACAAATTAACGATTTTCGGATTTTTCCTTTACTTTTTAACAAATTTCATGATTCTAATTCAACACGGGAAGAACACAATCCTAAACGTTTTGATACGAAAGTTTGCGAATGTCAATATATGTGACATGTTAAATAAAATGAGATTTTTTTTATAGGATAGGGTGGCAAACGAGCATGCAGTCCACCTGATGGTAAGTGGTTGCTGCGGCTCATAGACAATGGGACATACATCTATCCTCGATTACAAATCAAAATGAAGATGTGTTGTCACCCGTGAGGACTAAGATGGAATGCCTCGTTTCACCATACGAAACACAGCAGCATTAAGCTACTATTTTACGATAGTATTCTGTGAGAGCGTGGTCCTTCCCCGTTCGAGCCGACCCATTCGTGCTACAATTCTATACTAATAAAGACGTGACTAAAAAGGTTTTTAATAGAATTAGATAGAAGCTTGAAATTATACATCTCCAAGTGACTGTAGACTTTAGCATTGCATTTTAATTTCAAGTTGATACTTATACCTGTTTCTAAGAAAAATTATCAAGAAGTCTCGACAGACGCACAGATCGACAGACGAACGGACAATAAACTGATCCTATATATAGGTATATTATATTTTTAAGGGACAAAACCCTATTTCTCAGACTTGCTATGACAAACATATAACTAAGAACTATACTACATATAATAAAGTTAAATGCCGACATCAGTCAGGTCACGGCGAATCATCTTATTTACAACACAATAAAAGGTTGCTAACGTAGCGGTTCAATATGATGCGTGACACGACTACGTAGAAAGCAATGCACACATGCACACTCATTGATTCAAGAGCATATAAGGCTGAACGATTGACAAAGAGAGCTTTGTGGGGACAATTAAAATGACAAGCTATTAAACGAAATGAATTGCTGGCCACGTAGGAATTTGACGCGTCCTGAAGTGTGTTGACGTGGTTGAACTTCGCTTGCTAAAATTAAAAATATATACATTTTGTTATGAATTCAAGGGACATGCTGAGATTAATTAGAAGCTAACAGTTTATCGTGTGCTAAGTTCCTACCTCCAATAATTAGGTAACAACAAGGAATAAAGGTGCTTTGTGTGCAGGGTTGCCAGATGGTCAGGATTCGACTGGATTCTCCCGACATTTCAAATGATCTCCAGACTCCCGACAAAACTCAAAATCTTCAGACAAACAGCTCCTCGGAAAGTTAACGTATATGGTCTTTGATTTAATAAAAGCTGAGTTAGTAATTAGACTGAACTTTGAAGCAAATTGTTTGAATTTTAAATCTTTTATAATTACTACTAAAGGATCCAAATTCGTGGTCCTTAGTAAAGTCCAATGCTAAATACATATTATGGTAACATAAAAATTAAGTGTACATAAATTAGTTTAGTTTAAAGTACTTTTTGCGACCTCCTCTCAAAAAAAATAAACTTTTTATTTTTAATAATATTCAGAGGGAAACTGAAACAGGAGATAGGTAGCGGTATCTGCCTGGTAACAAGCAGAGTACCATGCGTGGCAACTATTGCAAAATCCCTCCTTTGAGACAATCTATAGGAGGCCTATGTTCATTAGTGGAAGAAAGTTTTTTTCATAGAATGAGGGTGACAAGCGTGCACACAGCCGCCTGATGGTAAGTAGATGCTGTGGCCCATAGACATCTACATCTATCCTCGATTCAGAATCAAAATGCAAATGCGCTGTAACCCCTGAGGACGAAGATGAAATGCCTCGTTCCAACAAAAAAGAGTCTCCCGTTCTCTACACTCACCATACGAAACACTTTACGCTGGTATTCTGTGAGAGCTTGGCCCTTCCCCAGTCGAGTCGACCCATTAGTGGCTCTACTACGTGCAAAAAACCACTTGGTGAATGGAAGAATGATTGAAAGAAATAAGGAATTAGGTAAATTTAACAAAACGAATTAAAATTTTACAAATTAGTTTCGCACCCTCCCAACCAGACGGTTGGCGGGCGGGACCTTTTTGTTGTCGACTATGCATTCGAAACAAAAATTTTGCTTAGCCATTTTAATGCGTACAGTAAAGGAGTGGAATCATTTAACGTCGTCTGTCTTACGGTCTGATTACAATCTGCGTGTCTTCAAGTCAGTTCTGTCAGATGACCGTCGCGCATTCTCTCCGAGCTTAGAATCCCACCAAAAAGTTTATTAAAAACAGGTTTATAAGGAAAAAACGTAATGTAGACAAAAATATGATTCTTAAGTGCATTTTACCACCCAGGGCTCTATCACCACTTACCACGTTGTAGGGTTGTGATAGTTAAACGTCGGCTTATAATAAGTAAAGAAAGCGCAGATTGTGTTAGAAGAAATCGTTAAGAGTTTGTTTTTCAGCCCAACCAGATAAACATGGTTTGTGAAGAATGGTGAAGCTAGACAGCTTCACCATTCTTTAGACAAACTAAATTTTAAATGCATTTTTTCTCAAAGTGATTTGTAAAAAAATTACGTCAGGTTTAAATCAATTTTTAAATCGTTAATTTAAATTGCGATTTATAAAAATCCAAATCTCAGAGCTTTAGTAATATATATGATACATATGATAATGTTTCTTTATCACACATTGTAAAACAACAAATTTAATGGGTTGAAAATTGTAATAAATTGCAGTTGAAATGCAGACCGTGTAACTGGCTAAGGCGCCGGAATGAGACGAAGAATAAAATGTAAGAACTATGCAACACAAACACTGCGACTACAAAAATGTAAAAATAAAACATTCACAGTACAGATAAAAATATCTATT